TAATTGCACCTTGACCTCATTGACCCAAATGTCACCTTTGCATTCTAGATATTTTCTATGTTGATTTGGGGCAAATGACCACAGCTGAACTGTCTTTTCTGGTTTGCAGAAAGGGATTTTTGTGCAACAAACAGCAGCATCATAGTTGAAACTGTACTGGTAATTATGGCAGTGATAAGTCAGAAAAGACGTGAGAGAGTGTAGAATGTGTTGGAGAAGACAATATTTTATGCATTTCTCCAAGTAGTTGTAGTCAGTTCTTAAAGGGATATTTAAGACATTCACAAGATACTGTAGCAAAGCAGCAGATGTCAAGACTAACTACAAATATGGTTATTAGATACAGTACAGATGTTTTAAAAACATGTATCTATGATGTCTACTGTTGCACTGAGCAAACATGGTGATCGGGCGTCCATATTTCAAGAATATAAATTTATCTTGAACAAAAGCACATCACAGTCATCTGCCCTTAGCATTAATCCACAACCCCTAGACAACATTATTATTATTTTTATTATTTATTAGTTTGGCCTTTTTTGTCACTTTGCAACAATTTCACTAGTCATTGTAACTGCACAAGAAAAACATCGCATTTTTCTGAGAATATAAGTGATACATACAGGCACAAAAAAGTAATGGCACCGTTTGCGATTTCCTGGTTTTCAGCAAAAACTGCACATGAAATGTGATCTGATCTTCACAAATATCATCAAACACAATATTTCCATGCTGATAAAACACAAACAGTCATGATCTTTCATGTCTTTATTGAACATACCCATTAAACATACAAAGCGATGGTGGAAAAAGTAATGTCAACACCAGCAAACGTCAGCTGAAGTCCAATCAATGAACAGAGAATGGAGATATGGTCTAGAACCGCCTTGACTTATAAAAACACTCAAATAGTGTCAGTGTGCTGTTCACAAGCAGCATCAGCTGATGTGGACCATGCCTTGCACAAAAAAAAAAAAAAAAGGATCTCAGAAGGCCTATCATCAAGACGTGTTGATTTGCATGTAGGTGGAAAGGGTTACAGAGTCATGTCAAAGACTTTAGATATTCAAGAGCCCACAGTTAGACATATTCCTCCCCCCCATAGAATTGGACCACCAGCCAAAATCACTCCAAAGGCACAACACAGAATGCACAAGGAGGTAAAGAAGAACTCTAGAGTTAACAGCTAGAACTTGAAGGAGTCATTGGAGTTGGTTAACATCTCTGTTCATGAGTCAACCATATGCAAAATATTGAACAGGCATGGTATCCATGGCAGGGCACCATGGAAGAAGCGGTTGCTCTCCATAAACAACATTACAGCACACCCGAAGTTTGCCAAAGACCACCATGTCTCTCCACAACACTACTGGGAAAATGTCTCATGTCTCTCCACAACACTACTGGAAAAATGTCCTTTGGACACATGAAACAAAGGTAGAATTGTTTGGGAAGAACATGCAGTACTATGCATGGCATAAAAAAAGAACCGCGTACCAACATGAAAACATCATCCCTGCAGTGTGGTATGGTGGAGGGAGCATCATGATTTGGGGCCGATTCGCTGCCTCTGGACCTGGACCACTTGCCATTATAAAGGAAAAATAAATTGCCAGGTTTACCAATGTTTCCTACAGGGTAATGTCAGGGTGGCTGTCTGCAAGATGAAGCTCAGAACAAGCTGGGTGATGCAGCAGGACAATGACCATAAACATCAAAGTAAATCTACTACAGAATGGCTTCAGAGACACAAAATCGGCCTTTTGCAGTGGCTCGGTCGGAGCCCAGGCCTCAGCCCAATAGAGATGCTGTGGAATAACCTCAAGAGAGCTGTTCACACCAGACGTCCTAAGAATATGGCTGAGCTGAAGCAGTTCTGTCAGGAAGAATGGTCCAAACTTCCTCCTGAACATTGTGCAGGTCTAATCAACAGCTACTGACGCTGGTGAAGATCAGATCACATTTCATGACCAATTTATGCACAAAACCAGAAAACTGCAAAACAGTGCCATTACTTTTTCTTGCAACTGTATATAAATAAACAGGGAGTTTGTGCCTGCTGGAAAAATTCTGGCCAATGACCTATGAGAACAATGAAGCTGAGACAATGCCACCAGCTGCCAAGTTTCTGGCATACTATAATGCATCAGCTGCAGGTTTTCGAAGTGTTGGGAGAAACCAAGTTAAGAAGCACTATAAATAGCAACAACACCAACAACCCAAGACACCCAACAGTCACAGTGCAATTATCACGTTGTTGTTAATCTGGCAGCCGGCTGGGTAAAAAGTAATAACAGGTCAAATATACTGCAGTACGGAATGTAAGAGAGACTTCCACTGTCCATACTGGTTCTATTTACTGTAAGTTGTACATTCCAAAGCATTAAATCAAGTGCAGAGCAGCAGGAGTCCAGTATTTGTTTCACTTACAGTTTATTTCTCCTTCTGAATCAAAGCTTCACCCACACATTCAGCAGCACCCAGCAGCTTTGTCTAAAATGTAAGAAATTCTGAAAAATGGCAACGAAAGAGCCAAGGCTGAGTCATGTCCAGTGGAAACAATCAATTACTCTTTGCCCCTCTTCACTGATTCTGCTGCTCCTTTCTTTTTCACCTTTTGTTGATTTTTACATCTCTGCCTTATCACTAACATCACTCTTTTTTTAGGCACTCCTAAAATCAGCCATAATTACCACTACCAAGTCACCTTTTCATGGCCCAGAGAAAGACTTCACATAGTACAACCAGCCTTAGAGAAGCCTCTGAAAAAGGCCAAACATTTCAGAAATGTGGCTACTGTGAGGGACGGAATCACATTAAAACAGAGAAGAATTGCAGATGGCATCCAGCCTAAAAGAAAATGTGTTTTCTCTCCGCAGACCCAGACAGTGGCATCAATATTTGCAAAAATTAACAAGATATATGTGATGTTATCAGAGGGACAATATCTATGCCCTTCTATCATGTCTTTCTATTCTCAGTTCCCTGGCATTTAAACTGTATTTTATAGTATCTCCAACGGATTAAAAACCTCCACACACACAATTACATGTTCTAAGTTATGCCCTTGGTGTTACCAGACTCATTATCAGTGATATCTCCTGATGATGCCATTTGACAACATCAGTCACTGTTATGCGTTTTAAATTTTTATATTATTTTCATTCTCTTCTGAACTCAATTTGGAAGTTCTGAAATCCTCCACTCACTGGTACATACTGTACCAGTTTCACTTGCTTTGTTTCATGGCTTTGTTTTCTCATCATGTCATGAAAAGAGATCAGGTCAAAAAGACATACGACAGGCAAGAAACAGAACTGTTAGAGCATGGCATGGTAATCTGAACAAGTTACCAACAGAGCCATACAATTTTACCTGTGGAATGTAAACTGCCAGTATGCAAAAACATGGCAGTCTTCTGATCACCTTACTATGGGAAGCGCATCTGCATTAAGGATTTCATTACATTCTAAATGGGTAGTGATTAGGCCCAGGCAAAGAGATGGCAACAGCATTTTTCAGAAAACAGATTGAACCATTTAGGCTTTTAGTATTAATAATTTATTGGTATGATTTTTTTTTTAAGCAGGTAATAGTTCAAGAATTGCAGAGATGTCAAATGAAACAGATGTGAAGGAGATTTACCACAGTCTTAAATTTGTTTAATGATTCCAATTTGTCCAATTTAACTTCTCTGCAAATTGTTCCAAGTATCTGGAGCCGATGGAGAGAAGGCCTTTTTCCCCATCTCTGTCCAAGCATATAAAGCTGCGAGCTGATATGTATCCTATGATCTTAAGTTGAAGTTCGACTAAACATTTAAAAAAAATCCATCTACAAAGATACCACAAGGTAACTTGCCAAGAATGGCCTTGTAAATAAAAATGTATCCGTATGAATGAGAACTTTTCAGTTAGTGAGTTATTACAGTGCTGTTTTACAAGTTCTTAAATTCTAATCTCTCCTTAGGTGATTACACGCTCTTTCTTTAACTCAGATTTTAAGGCCAAAGCAGTCCATTCTTTGGCTGCGTCTGAAAATAAGTGTAGTCAGTGTGATTATACTGAAGCTTTACATAATAACATTTATACGTAGAATGCCCGAATAAAACTATATTCTCCAAATATTTCTATTGTTAACTGCAGCAGAGCCAAAAAGTCCTTTCCTGCTCGACTCTATTGTACGCTTGAAATACACACACCCCCCAATGAAACACGCATCAAAGGGGATTCATTCCACTAGAGCAACCTACAATAACCTGACATTTTTTAATATCACACTGCAGACGGGAATAAAAGCAATCAAAGGAGGGCACCCAAACTGTAACAGGCAGCGCTCTGAGCCCTGAAAGTTACACAAAGTAAATTTGTAATGGTATTTTACTGTAACAAAAACACATCCCAAGAAGTCAGAAGACAAGGTCAGCTTAGTGAGATAATCCTCAGCAGTAGCTGTAGTAATTACATCATTTGGCAGTGTTTTTCTAGCCCGTGATGTGTGTAAACCTGTAGATGCAAATATTATTCCAGCAGGACTTCAAAGAAAGCTTGTATCAGCAGCACCCTAAACACAGCTGCACAAGTTCCTTGCTGATGTTTAATAATTTATGTGGTAAGCTTGCTTCATCTTGTACATATCTCTTCTCCTTCTCTTCCCTCCCCACCCCCCTCCATTCTCACATTCTGCTGCCAACCAAAGATTACACTGCCCTCTATTGTGTAGCCAGTGGACTGTCTGACGCTGCTTCAGTAAAAACCCTATCTCCTGGCTGCACAGGATTTCTGGTCACAGCACAATATTGTACTCCCGCCAAGAAAAAGCTTGCTTTGTTGTGCATCACATACTATTACGCACTGTGCATAATGCTGCAATCGCCACATGACAGGGTGGCTGTTTGAACACTTGGGCATGAAGCCAGAAGCACCTGACAGAGTTTAAGATTAAAAAGAAAGTGCAATACTGCTTTTTTTCAGGCTTCTTTCTGTTTATTGTAAGCTGACCTTGATCAGAGAGGAAGTCCAACATGGTCTGCAGCAGGAAGGACAGGTGGCGTACAGACAGGCCAGGGTTGCCCATTCGGCGGGATGCATACACCAGTTCATGTAGGAGGCGCATCTGTACAGCAGCCCAGCCTCGATGGGTACCTGCAAGAGAGGCAACAGAGTGAAACACACGCACAGCACCACCGAGGCTCATGGCTGACATCTACTGTTACACAGCCATCACATCAGATTAGAACAAATGCACCTGTAGAACCATACTCTGTTCATCTGATGCAGATCATTTAAAACATTGTGTCCTCATTTTAAACATCAACAGCATAAATAAAATGTTTCCTCACTGGGAAAAGTAATGTAACACTGACATCTGTGAAAAAGCAGCCAGTACTCTTTCAAAGGTTGATTTCAGGTCTCTGGATGAATTACCCAAAAAGTAAATATATTTTTATATAACACATTTATCTTTACTATTAACCGAGAATTGTCAATATATACAGTACAAGATCAAATCATTACAAATGAAAAAATACATATTTAAAAATGTAGCTGAAGAAATCAGTTCTGTAATTGGCTGATAATTTATCAGTTCTGTAACTGAGCATGAAAGTTCTTTCTTGACCATGGAAATAGCAGAGAATGCATTTCCATGTAAGAACCTTTCCCAGGGCTTTTAACTACATCCCCTGGTCATAATCAGTGGATCGAGTTTGATCTGCTGACGTCACATGCCTTGCGATAAATATATGAAAATGATGAAACTTATTTTGTCAAAGTCTGTAACTGTTCTATAATATGCCAATACTCCAAATGAATGACTCAAAATGGGGATTACTTGCAGCTGTTTCTCATGTTGGATACCAAAGCCAGCTGTGGTACAGCTTTACAAAAATAAAAAGTATCATATATTCTTGGCATAACAGTAGAATCAGCTATCACATGACCAAAATGCTAAATTATCAGTGAATTGTTTTGTAAAATGTAACTACAAATCATTTCAGTTAATAAATGAAGTAATTGTAGCTTCACCGTTAAATAGTGAACTTGTAATAATAACTATAATATTGGCTCAGATTTGAATAATGTGATATATACTGTATTGATACTGGGAAAATATTTTCAGTCATTTAATTTAAACCACAACTCCCAACCGTAAATTCTGCACAAGCATCCTATAATTACATCTATATTATAATTAACCACAAATGTGTTCAGTGCCAAATATCAATGTTTACTGTATGTTGCCTTTTGTGTAATTAGATCAAACTCAAGCGTTTTCACTGGAGTCATCGCTTAAAATTCAAGTATCCCCATTGCAGACGGTCTGATGTGCTCCAGTGTGATACTAACTCAGCCTGTGCTGCACGGCTCCACAAGACATCTTAATAGCATTCTAGCATGTCACCAACTGTTACATAAGGCCCTCAGCCCCCTACCAGATCCTCTGCTCCACTCCCAGCTGTCAACTGTTGACTCACTGAGTGGGACAGAAAACTAGTTAAAAGATGTGCTGTGGAGGCCGCGGGGGCCAAAGGGAAGGAAGGAGATAATTGTTAAACACTCGAATATTCTCTTAGCTTACATATGGCTTCCATTAAAGTGAAATAATGCCAAATAAGCCTTCCAGTTTTCAGCACATTTTTCATGGTCATAAAACTGCTCCCACTAAGCAGTCTAAAAATAGCTGACTTCCACCTGTCACCAAAAGCGGCGCTCATCTGCAGGACAGTAATCCAAAAGACACTTTGGATTTTCTGAGGATGTTGCTCTCACTCAATACATGGAAAATAACTTCTTCATCATCAGAGCTAACCTGGAGCAGGCAATCCAATTAACACACCACCAAGATAATGATGTTACAGTTGAACTTAAAGAGGACCCAAATGCAGACACAAGAAAAGTAAACAGTGATCAGAATACACAACGGGAGTGCAATAAAACACAAACACCCACCCTAAGACCAGCTGCAGAAAACACTAAACATACAGTATGTGAAGAGAAAGGCATAGGAGAAAGTAACAACTAAAGAACATGAACTAAGAACTAAACCGAAACTCAGAAAAGGCTAGGATAAGCTAAGAAACAGCAGCACTAGGAAACAACTGGGCGGGCAGGTGAGAGACTATGGAAAATAACTCCACAGGCAGCAGATAATACAGCTGACAATACAAAGCAGAGGGGACAATAGGTGCTGCAAGTCCCTGAAGGAGTAACGCAGGCAAGGTAACGCAGGCAAGGTAAGACAGGCGAACATAGCAGTGTGTGTGAGGAGCTGGCTGGTCTTTATGCTGGCAGGTGAGAAACAGGTGAGGTGAGTGTGATCAGGGCTTGTAATGAGGGTGGTAACGCTGGGGCTGAGAACGAGGACTCGGGAGGGAAAGTGCCAAAATAAAAGCCCAAAAAAGAAGCTTGGCGAACCATAATAAATGAATGTCACACCATAGCCAAACAGTTCCCATGTCATGCAAAACCTGACACAAAAGGTCCTGATCCTTCAGGTTGCCCATGATTAAGCCGGGGGAATTTTCTACTATGGAGGGTGGTGAGATGTAACACACTACCATGGTTCTCCTCTATAACAAACACATAACATTTTACAAAAAGAAAACAAACTCCCCAAATTTAGATGATGGCATAGCAACAGTGGAGAACAGGGGTCTTAAAAAAGGACAAAAGAAAGAAAGAGTTCCCCATTTATAGTAAGATATGGACGTAGTGAAAAGGGATTGATGAGGCCGTTAAAAAGCTGTTTATTCCACTGTATCTCACTGTATAAAAGCCTTAATGGAATGCACCATTGATCCCTATTGTCTTTCTCACTTAAACCTCCAGCTTAGTACTTGATGTACTAGGCTAAGAACTAAGAAGTGACTGAATTTGTATAAACTTACAACCATCATTCCCCGTTTTACCCATCAACCCTGAGGAAACTGATGAGCAGATACTCAGGGCTCAGCTGGAATACCAATATACTCAAATTTAATTAAGTAACAGAGGTGTATTCAGAAGCTGTTACGGTTCTCTTCTACTGTATCTGTAACTGAAGTCTGTTGTTCAAATGTACAAGATCTATGAAATAATGCTTGTTCTTGCATTTTCTTCATCCACTTGTAAGTTTATTGGTAGGAGATTATTTAAGGGGGGATCATAAGAACTTACATGAAGTTACATATCTGCTAGTGGGTGGGACCAATGCCTGGAATGGTGATTTAAAGAACTGGCTGTGTCAGCATGCCGCTTGTTACATGGCAGCAAGGACGGGCAGGAAAACTCTTTTAAACTGAGTGCAGGCAGCACATGAGGCTGCGACATGACGCTGATCTTCATCAGCTGATAATGGTTATTCCAGAAAACAGGCAACTCTTTCATATTAAGCAACATGATGCTTCTGATTTAGAACATGAAGTAAACAGCCTACACAGTCTAGAGCAAGGAATTATTTGTCAAATTCAGCATGATTCAAATGTCCTGCAGAGTTTCTGGTTCATAATCAGAAGTTGTTGGGAGGATGTGGTGTCCACATTTTCTCACCACAAAACAGGCAGCAGTTCACCGTTCTATCGGACGCCACGTGTTGTTTTGCTGATGTGTTGCAATTTGTCATGGCTTCAGGTTGGCACAAGCAGCCTGTGTCGTTTCATGTGCCAAATTTAAATGGAACAAGAACTCCAACCACTCGACACATATTGGCACTGTGCCAGTCAGGTCTTGTAAGGCACCTACCAGCAAATGAGGGTGATCAGAGGCTGAGATAGAGCCTCTTTACTTTTAGCACCTAGTATGGGTCATGCCCCAAAAGCCCTGGATCCTTCCATTACCCATAATGAAACCTGATAGTATCTTTCATTACAACTTCCTTACTTATCTCTCAAACTCCACATGCTCAGTTTGTATGACAGACTTTGTTATAAATTTGAAGTCTCAGGTAGAGACTGAGATAACCCCGATGACATTGACAGGGTTTTTTTTTTTTTTTTTACACTGATCAGTCATTACATTAACACCACTGACAGGTGAATTGAATAACATTGATTATCTTGTTACAGTGGCACCTGTCAAGAGGTGGGATATATTAGGCAGCAAGTGAACAGTCAGTTCGTGAACATAATGTGCTGAGCAAAACTGACAAGCATAAGAATCTGGGTGAGTCTGACATGGTTAGTGACTTGGTCAGATCCACTCAAACAGAAGTTCTTGTGGGGTGTTCCCGGCCTGCAGTCGGTACCTACTAAACGTGGTCCAAGGTAAGACTACCAGTGAACAGGCCATAGGGTTGTGGCCGCCCAAGGCTCATTGATGCATGCTGGGAGCAAAGGCTCACCTGTCTGGTCTGACCCCACAGAAGAGCTATTGTAGTACAAAGTGCTGAAAAACCTGATGCTGGCTATGACAGACAGGTGTCAGAACACAGTGTGTCACAACTTGCTGCCTACAGACCAGTCAGAGAGCCCATGCTGATGTCTACAATGGGAACGTGAGCATCAGAACTGGACCACGGATCAATGGGAGAAGGTGGCCTGGTCTGAAGAATCGAGTTTTCTTTTACATCAGGTGGGCATCCAGGTGCATGTGTGTTGCTTGCCTGGGGAAGACATGGCACCAGGAAGCACTATGGGAAGAAGCCAGTCAGCGGATTCACGGTGATGCTCTGGACAATGTTCTGCTGGGAAACCGCGGGACCTGGCATTCATGTCGATGCTACTGCGACACATACCACCCGCATAAACATTGATACAGATCAAGTTCGCCCCCTCATGGCAACAGTATTCACTGATGGCGGTGGGGGGCACATTAGGCATATTAGGCAGGTGTTTTAATGTGGCTGATCAGAGCATGTCATGTTCTTCACGTTTGTACAGTGGAGAAATCATACTAGTACAAATGAATTGACACTTGATGTGTTAACTAGGGACACCAAGTAGGTAAGTGCTACTGGTGTGTTGTATCCCAAATATCATCTAAAACAACTTTTCAGCTTAGGTGCAAGCATATTACTCCAAAAGTGTTTTCATTCACAGTTCATAAAAGAGACAAGGTCAAAGATTAACAGCATATCAGAAAAAATCCTCTCAAAACAGCCCCTGAATACTGATTATAAGAGAATATAAGGATGTCCCTGAGCTTTTCTGTCTACTGGGAACACTGTCTTTTGTGCTGCAAACGCTTGATGAGTGCCTGCAAAAGAGCAAGTGTCAAGGGTCTGTTTATCATGTGACCTTACTAAACAGTCTACAAAAGCCTTGATCAGGTCTCAACTGTGCCTCTTTTTCATTAAAGTGGTGGCCTGAATGCAGAACACCCTGGGGAAACGCTCTCGAAATAACAGTGACACTTAAGGTGGAAAGAGGAAATGTAATTAATCTCCTTTATCTAAATGTGTGTTTACACTGCTGTCACTCACTCACTCTGGATCATGCAAGACGATACTGCCTTTCCAATCTGTAAAACCTTTGCACTCTATGAAATCACCACTATCTAACAGACTGTGTTTTACTTCTTCATCGCCTGTTGACTTTACAAATGTTGCTTACTGTATGCTCAGTAAACAAAAGAATCTCTCTTCAGGTTCAGAATGGAAATCTGATTATAGTACTCTTTCACATCGTACATAAAACAATGACTATACTATTTTACTGAATCTTTTGTACCATTAAAAGTGCTCCAAAATGTGGTGGGATTAGCGATTTAGCTGCATTACAGACGAACTTGTTTTGGCAATACGTGTATGGCCAGATTAGCAAAAAGCTCATGAATGTATTTCCTCAATGATAAATATACAGTGCACATAGTACATTGTTGCCTTTTGGTTTAACCAGTTTGTGTTTTCATTTATGTGTGTGCAACTGTTTACATTTCACTTTGAATATACTACTACTACTTTGTATATTCTATCGGATGTATTATATAGTGAGAATGACACCTGCTGACAGGAATCACACACTATGTAAATGTTTTGCACTCAAGTTTTACTTCTGATAAAGCTGCTCTTCATCTGCTGCACAGTAGAAGCTGGTCACTGTGTTGCACTTTCCCTTTTGTCAACAGTCCATATGCGTAGCATTAGGTGCCCATGTAAGACCCAAGCCAACACACTAAAGCCAAAATGATTAGCTGATTAATCCATCAGTTGAATAACAGCAACAACTTTGTTAATCAGTTCTTTAAGTCAGGGATCAAGCAAAAATACAAAACACTCTCTAGGTGCAGCTTCTCAAATGTGAATGGGCTCATCTTTTTCTTTGTTATATTATAAGAAATTTAATATGCTAAGTTTGAGAAAGCTTGTTGGAAAAAACAAATAATTTGAATTTCTCTCTTTTGCCTCTGAGAAAATATTATGGAAACCTTTGCACTATTTTTCACAATGTTTAACAGTGAAAATCATTTTAAGTTGCAGCACAGAAACAAACTGTATCCGATATGAATAGACAGAGTTTGGAGATGATACGTCTGCCAAAACCAAACCAAGGAGCCATTCTCACATGATGCCCAAACAGTCCCCACTTGAAAGTGTGAAAAGGATGTTGACAATGAACCTTTTAAGTCTACCTTTGATGAAGTCCTTTGGATCAAGCGAAAGGCTGTATCCAGGCAATGTCTCCAGCAGCAGTTTGTAGCAGGCCCTCCAGCCAGGGTCAGGAATGGTGGGAGCCACACACTGCATGGCAGCAACACGCTTGAAAAATGCTGACTTGCGATGGAAGCCGATCAGTTCGTAGAGCTCAGACAGGATACTGTAACGCTGGATCTTCTCCTCCTCTGAAAGCTGGAGGTATGGAGACAACATTAAAATCCTCCTTCACTCTAAATGCCTTTTTCTTAGTGTTAAGACTTGGATGTTTGATTGTTACTGTACAGAATGATGTATCTGCAGGGCTTGACACTAGAAGTCTGTTTTCACATTACTGTGCTGTGGAAACTTGAAACCTCCAGGACACAGCTGTGAGAATGGCCTTTTCTGTGAAGTCCAGGAGTTAAATGTATTAAATGAACAATGCTTGAATACACATTAATTGTGGATTTCTCAATGAGGGAGGAGCAGTCGAGGTAATTTTAGACTTTGTCCAATAGGTAAGTGAACTTTTATTAGACAAAAATTTTTATCCAAACAAGAAAATTTAATATATTTTCAAACAGGTCAGGTCAAGGGGATCTTTAATTGATAAAATATAATTATTTGACCTTACCTTGGGTTGAGACATCCTGCTAAGCACATGAAGAATTACCAAGAAAAACATATACAGGGTCGTGCTCTATACTAATAATTACATAAATAAACTAGAATCAAAAAAATAATGTCAAGGCGATTTTAAAGTAAAACAGAAAGAGGTTTCTAATGTACTGCAAGAACAAGAACAACAAGATCTTGTTGGCTGCATAGGTCACATAAAGAAAACAAGGACCAAGGACAAAACTCTCACACCAAATAAGAAACAAAGACACAAAAAAGTATTGCTTTAATGATAAAGAGCCAGGACAAAAGGTAATACTGAAAGGGCAAAGAATGTTATAGGTGAGTTTTAGTATGCCTTTCTGCTAACAGTAAGATATCCTGCAGTCACCCTGATTCAAGTGTACACTATATGGACATATTAATCATCCTGTGTAGCTGGACAACTTTTTATTTCACAGTCAGGTAGCATACCTGTCCCAGGTTGATATAAACAGCGTTCTGCAGGAACTCTGAGGCCTCCCTGGCCCTCTTCTGAATGGCCAGCACCCGGACCGCTTTCACACAGGCCTCAAGCTCGATCACACCTGCATTTTTATACTGAAAGAGATAAGAGGAGGCCCGGTGTTAATGAAAGATGTCAAGGCAATCCGCACTGGCTGTACTTCTACATCCCACCTCATAATCACAAGGCCAGTTTTTCATTAACATACGACCACCCTCATCAGTCACTGTAGACATGGGCTGACAAAGAAGCGCGATGACTTTGATCCCCTGCTGCTCATTTTTCAGGGCTTTGCAGCCACTAGTCTGTTTGTGCTGCAGCGGCACACTGTATGCAAATGTCTGCATTTTTTATCTCACCCTCCCTCAGCTTCCTTCCACTTCCACCCTCATTGTCTCCTTATTAAAATTCAATTAATATCTGAATGGCTATGTGTTGAGATGTAATTTAATTCTGAATGAACAAGTTTCAGGTAAAAGGGCTCAGCGAGGTCAAATGAAGATAAAGCACAGGTTTGCTTCGGAATGGTTTGGTAGAATAATGAGCCTATTCTTTAATACTATTCTTTGTGACTCTTTTCAAGTACAGTGGTCAAAAGAGAGCACTGTTATTCAAAGCATAGTATTATGCCAAATTAAATCAAACACTGCCCCCTGGTGAGATGATCCAATATCACTAGATAGGCATGTATTGTAAGTACATTTCTGCTTGCCACTACTGGTTTTACATCATAGTAACCTCAAGATAAACACTGTCATGTATGACCATTAATCTAATGACTGGAGGAATCCAATCCAAGATGGCTGTGAAAGAGTTTCAGAGCTCTAAAACACCACCATGCTCCTGATTAAACATAGACTAAGGATGACATATGCTGTAGCTCCTGTCTACATTAAAGAACTCCTGAAGGAAAATATGTGCTTTTGAAACTACGGCTCCTAAACCGCAGAACTGTGTTGGACCTTGTTAATGCGACGCAAAATGCAATTTAAAACCTGTTTCACCCAAAAGATAAGTATGATGATGCCAGATGATACAGCCTAGAATTATTTATTATTATACAGAAATATTTTCGGTACTTCACAGCAATATAATTCCTAATGATGCAGTATAATTAATTTAAGGGGCCAGGATAAAAGGCATAAAATAGATGGTTTAACTAACTGTAAATGATCAGTCCATTTAAGCTAATTTCAGTTCAGGCTAAAATCAGCATGTGAGGGAAATACATTTCATAACTTCTGTAGTTCATAGGAGAGAGTTTTGGTGCTGACTGAAACTTCACACAAAAAAGAAGCTTAGCTTTTAATTTGTAGGTACATCTGCTTAATTTAAGACTTTTTAAATACATTTTAAGGTATATTTTGAGGAAATTGGCCTGACGTTTCAAGACCTACTGATTCCCTAACTATTTGTGATGGTGCACGTGGGACTGAAAGAGATGTGTGACCAGCCAGTGCAACAATGTTTTTGGACAATAATGAAGCTCTATGACTGAGAGGAGCATAAAAATACCAGATAATCATTTCAGTAAGATCAATTCACTGTTGGTTTTGGTTAAGTTAACTTTTGACACCTAAGACCTTTCAACACCTTTAAAAGGCAGCTCAAGGCCCAGCTGTTTAAAATCTCCATTATTTCATTGAGTTTATTTACTGTTCTTACATTGTTTATTTTATGCTTTTGTCAGTTAGCATGCTGTGATATGTGGCCTTGAAAATGCTATATGAATTTATAAAAAATAAACTCAGATTTTTTTGTTAAATTTGGCAAAGCATTATTAACAAACCTAACATGAGTATAAGGAAAATACTGAACTCTGACTGATGTACTGAACTGATATTGGCCTACTAATAAAAATCACAAGTGAACAGCAAAAAAAAAACCTATTGCAACAACATCACTATTAGCTGAAATCCCAAGTAAACAGTTCTGTAGGTTGTGGGCAGTACCTTTCCATAGTAGGAGATGGCCTCTTTGTATTTCTCGATAATGTCCTCGGGACTCAGGCAGTTCTTTGCTCGTCCAATCTCAGTGCTGGTGTCTGCACTAATGCCGTTGGCCGTGAGGGCACCTACGCTCAAAGAGAACGATATGTGGTAAGTTTAGGAAAGACACTGTGATGACTATCCATCAGTTTGTCTGCCACAGGAGGAAACAAGAAAGGGAAACTTAAATCCGCCACTTGCTCTGTAAAGCCACCTCCATGGCTACCACCGCCACATGCATATTAGACATACACTCAGTTGGCAGTTTACAAATCAAGAAGCCCTCCCTCATGAACTGCTGTTGAACTGTACTGCATTATACAGAAAAGTGTTTGTTATTCAGCCTATCCAGATTAATAGGGTGGACAACATAATTGAAATCCTTGCTGGATTAATGCGACACAATTCACCAGCAGCCTCCAAAACGATCATACAGGTGAATGAACACAAACTGAAGATTATCACTTTGTTCAAAAAAACATATCTGAGCAGATAACGCTGAAGAAACCATGTGAAGTATGTTTGTGTCTGATGCCTGCTGATCAGCCTGTTAAAAACCAAATTAGTCTTAACACTATGCCAACTTTCCCCACTCTGTATTACAACAACAGTGAGTGGGATCATGAATATTCAGTCTCTAAGATGTGATAAAAATGATGCACTTGGCTAATGTCCTAGGCAGCGTAACCTTTGCACTTGAACTGTTTGAAAAGCAATTGCAAGGTGTACCTCTTGGCCAAATCAGATTAAAATACAAACACCAACTGAGAGTGCATCACCCAGCGATAGAGCCGTGTGATGCTGTCACTATAACAAATGTGAGAACAATAAACTGCTGCATTGCACTTTCTTGGCCAACCTGCACATGCAGCATGAGAAAAAGCGCTTCACACAGTTACACACAGAAAAAGTACAATTTTTGACATGATGAACTTATAAATACATGTAAAGCATGTAGTAAAGTATCTCATCATTTTTCCGTAGGTTATGATGCGAAATTAAGCGAGAGAGAGGAGTCAACAAGAACCACTGGTGTTTGACTGCCATCTGCTGGTGCCTCTATGGAGATATGGCAACTTGTCTTTAAAGAGATGCATTTTTGATTTTGACAGGGTTAAGTGACTGTTGTGTGATCATCAAGAATAAGATGTGAACTGGTAGCATAATGACGGCTTCAAAAATAAAGAATGGAAGCAACTGAAAGAGGTCATTTAAAGCTTTGGTCTTCATTAATGTACTCCTGTGATTATGGAGAACAAAACGTGGCAGTGAGAAAGAGCAGGTACATTTGAAGAGAAGGTGATAACCAA